CCGCCCCTGCCCGTTGCCCCGCCCCTCGCCCTGCCCCCCGCATCCACGTGCGGCCACGCGCTGGGGCCCACAGGCCCGCAAACCGAGGGGTCCCTCCCAGGCCCTCTGCGAGCCCTCACTGCTCTTGATTCTCACCTTTTTGTAACCCCCCAAGATATCTGTTTTGCCAGACGCATGTTCTAGGTTAGCGGGACCCGTTTTCCGTGGGTGCAGTCACCCCATCTTTGCCTAGAGGAGGAGGGGGTGTGGTAGCATCCCACAGGGCCTCCCTGCCAGGTGCTGTCCACTAGTGTCCACTCGGCAACTGTAAATCCAGGGCGATGCTTTATGGGGTGCTCGGGCAGGGGGCCGGGGGGGGCAGGAGAGCCTGGGGGCTTCCTGAGGGGTGTCTGTGTGATGCATTCAGCCGTAGTGGGCTTGTGTTGCTGCGTGTTCGACACCCCTTGCTAAACTTAACTCTCAAGGAGCAGGATGCAGTGCTTCTAGAACCTTCCATCTAGTGACAAAGACAGGGTGTGGTGGGCTGTCCAGCAAGGCCATCCCGGGCCCCAGTGCTGCCTGGAGTCCTGCGCTTTGATGTGCGGGGCATTTTTAGGCAGGCAGGGTGGGGCCTGAAGTTGGGGTGCAGGGGCCCTCAGTGAGGCAGGAGCAGCACGAGGGCCCGGTCTGAGGGGGACCCCAGGGGCTGAGTGTGATGGATGCTGCGTGGCTCTCGGCAGCAGCACTGCCGTCAAGTCTTCACCCTGCCTCTTTCCTCCTCTCTGCAGAGAATTAAACACCGGGGCCCTCTGCCCGGTAGATAAGGAGGTCATCAGGTCTCAGGAGGTAAGAAAGCACCCCGGGGGTGGAAGGCAGAGGGGGTTCCCCCGGTGTCGTCATCCTGTTACAGGGCGCCCCGGTGTGGACGGGGCCGCCTCTCCGTGGGGCCTCACCCGCGCGCTTAAAGTTCAGTTGTCCTGCAGGTGCACGCGAAAGGGTCAATAATAGGTTGATTTACAAAAGGGGACAGGAACAGGAGCAACCCAGGGAGAGAGAGAGAGATGCAAGGTAACTGGAGCACCTGACCTGCTGGCTGACTGGGCGCTCTGGGAACAAACTGAAAGCCTTGAGTCACCCGGTCCTGAGAACTGTTGCTGGAGCAAGAGATACCGCTGGTGCCCAGTTGTGTATCATGGCGCCCTATTTATCCCCCAATGTCCCAGAATTCCTGCTTAGCTCCGCCCTGGGGTCCTCGCAGTTCTCTCCTGGGTGCTGCTGGGAGTTGTAGTTTCCAGTCCCTGAAGCAGGGGGCGGAGTCCAGAACGCCAGAGGAGGGGGCGGGGTCCACCAGACTCCCCGGAGTTCCTTCAGGACGTCCTTCCCCCTAACAAAATGGTGCCCTATGTAGCCCCCCAATGTCCCAGCATTCCTGCTTAGCTCCGCCCTGGGCTCCTCGCAGCTCTCTCCAGGGTGCTGCTGGGAGTTGTAGTTTCCAGTCCCGAGTCCAGACCGTGGGAGAAGGGGGCGGGGCCCACCAGACTCCGCAGAGTTCCTTCAGGCCTTCCTTCCCTGTAACAATCCTAGGCCCTGGGGTCAGGTCCGAACAGGGCCATTGCTGATCTGACCTGGCTTCCTCGGCATGCCCCGTACCCCCCTCCTCCTGGGATTACACCGAGCCGTGGGCATGAAGCGCCCAGTTTCATGGCAGTCTTTCTCCTCTGGTTAATCTCGAATGCCGTAGGCTTAGGGACTGCGGTGTTGAGCAGGAATGCACACGCCATGGGCTCCACCCAGCCGGCCACGTGTCCCCTCGGCGCGTGGCCCTTCCCAGACCTTCCCCGAGGCAGCGCACCGCCCCGCGCCTCCCCCGCTCAGCCACCGAGTTTACCGGCTTGTTCCCCGGATGGGTTTTCTGGGTGGTTTCTACTTCGGGGCCACGGGCGGATGTGACTTGTGTCTTCCTTTGCTCGGCTCTGCACCCTGGCACAGAACTGCTGAGTCACCGGTGGCCAGTGAGTGGGGCGCTTGCCACGCGTGGCGGCCACGTGTGGCAACGCCTGTCCTGTCCCCACGTCCACGTTTAACGGGGAGTGTTTGTGTCCCCTGGCTGTGTGGCCAGAACTGTTTACATCGTCCAGATGCAGCCTGGCTGCTTGAGGTGCGCCTGTTTTCAGCTCGCCTGTGGTTTGGCTTCGCCTTGCCTCGAGCATGTCCTTTGAAGCCCAGAGCTGCACTGTGGTGAAGTCTTGTCTGTTTCTGTCTGACGTGATCGTCTGTCTCTTTAATGTCAGCTGAGCAGTGATTACCCCACCCAGGGTCCCATCTCACCTCCTCCAGGAAGCCCCCTCGCCTCCTCTCATGGACACACCCAGCAGGGGTCTGCTGCGCCCTGAGGGTCCCCTCCGGGGCGGGCGGGGATCGAACTCGCGAACTCATGAACTCACGTTGCAGTGGCTTTAGCTTCTCAGTGCTGGGCTTTAACCCGCTGCGCCCCCAGGGAGGGCCCAGAGACATCTTTTAAAACCCAAAAGCAGCACGTTCCGTGGCCAGACCACTAGGTGATGTCCAGATGTCGGGGTGCGCCAACGACGTTCCATCGGAACACAGCGCGCCCTGACTTTCGGGGGTCGGGGGTGGCAGAGACGGGGGCAGTGTGGCCGGCAGGGAAGTCTACCAACCCCCGGGGAGGGCTGACGAGCCAGCAGGGGTGACTAATACAAGTGTTCGCCCCGGGGCCGGGGCCGGAAGTGGAAAGCATCACCCCCTCCACACCCCCGCGGCCTGACCTCAGAGCACCTCAGAGCGGCTGAGGTCACGTCCACCGTGAGATTTTCCGAGAGGCGGGGCCCGGCGTCAGCAGGCGCGCCCGTGTGTGTGGCTGTCAGAGCTGTGTGTGTTCTCTGGTGCAGTCGTGAGTCTCCTATTTCCATGCCGAGCCCCGTCTGGAACTTTCCACCCGGCGTCCACGGTGAACTCGCAGGCCAGCTGAGGAGTGGCCGCCGTGGTCTTGGCTGACGCCGGCCGGGCGTGGCCTCTGCGTGTGTGTTCCAGGTGTTTCGGGACAACTGGTGCCGGAGAGAGGTGCTGAACCTCTACGTGTATTGCAAAAACGCCCCCGGGTGCCAAGCCAAGATCATTCTGGGACGCTACCAGGTTGGTGCCACCTGCGTGCCCTGGTCACCTCTGCCGCCGGCCGCCGACGGGGAGCGGACAGCGCTCGGTGACGGCCCCCGGTCAGGGGAGTCAGGTGGAAAGTGCCCACCAGGGTGCGGCGAGAGGGAGATCCCTGTGAGGGGCCCGGATGCCCCAAGTGGCCAGGGCGCCCCTCGGGGGTGCTGCGGGCTGCAAGAGGACACCCCGGGGGTTCTTGCCGAGGCCCCGGGTTGCGTTCCCCAGGGGACGGGCCGGGCAGGTGCCGGAGGACCCCAGGGGCTGTGTCCAGGTCACAGTTGGTAAAGCGCTGCTGTGAGATGCCAGAACAGGCCGGGGCGGCAAGGCAGCCACAGCGCCTCTCGGGGGTGCTGCTTTCTGCCCGTGGACCGGCGGGCGGGGCCCAGGCACCCCCGACTTCCCGGGAACGGCCCGGAGCGGCTCTCCGCCCCCCACATTCTTGGAAGCGTTTCAGGCGATTCGGTCCCGCTGTCAGCCCCTGGCCCGCCCCCCAAGACGGAGCATCTGCCATGGCAGCGGCACCCCTTCACCCAGGGGCGTCATCTGAGGCTCCCGAACTGCTTCGTGTCTTCCCAGCCCTGTCCTCGCCCCTCTGAAGGGCCCCTCAGCCCGGAGCGGGGCGGGGGCTCCCCGACTCCCAGTAAGCCAGCGGCCACCTTGCCAGCTTCTGCTGGGGCTCCCCCATTCCGTGTCCCCGGCAGGGGGGCCCCCAGGTGGAGGGTCTCCGTGAACCGAGCCAGGCAGTCACTGCTTAGGCTTGGGGGGTCCTGCGGCGCCTCATCCCACCGCTGCGCCCCAGAAGCGAACAGAGTGGCTGTTTGCCAAGGAAATTTATCGACCAAAGCAAGGCCTGGCCGGGGGCGGCAGGCTGGCTACCAGCACGGCCGGTGCGGGGCTCCCCGACGCCCCTCGGTGAGGGGCGACGAGGCGGCCGCCGCCCCCCAGCGCCCTGTTCTGGCGAGGACGCCCCCGGCTCTGCAGGTCCGGCCCGAGTCTCGTGCCTCTCCTTGCCTTTACTCCTTCTGGAACATTCTTCCTTGGGCCGCTCCCTCCCTTTACCCTGCAGGCGGGAGTCGGCTCTCCGCGCCGGGGCGGCCTCTGCCTCTCCTGTGCGGGGCGCCACCTCAGTGTCGGGGAGAGCTGGAGGGCACCCAAAGAAAGCAAAGACCCCCCACTCGTAAGCTCTCCGGGGCCTGAGGGAAGCGTGAAGGGCAGAGCGGAGCGGCCTGGCGCTGGGCAGTCGGAAGCCCACGGCTGGGGCCTCCTGTCGCCTCAGCCTCACCTGCTGGCCCGGGCAGCTCGCACCCCGCCCTCCCAGGAGCCCCTCGGCGTGCTCCGCCCTCCCAGCGCCCATCAAGGCCTGTGTCGGGGAGCACCCTCGGCCGTGCTCCGCCCCCTCAGCCGCCGGTGTGACCTTACGGGAGCACCCTCGGCGTGCTCCGCCCCTCAGCCACCCGTGTGTCCTTACGGGAGCACCCTCGATGGTGCTCCGCCCCCCCAGCCACCCGTGTGTCCTTACGGGAGCACCCTCGGCCGTGCTCCGCCCCCCCCAGCCGCCCGTGTGTCCTTACGGGAGCACCCTCGGCGTGCTCC